AGCAGGAGCAGCGGCCGCGCGCGCGGCCAGCGCGGCGACGAGGGCAACTGCCAGGGCGCCCAGGGGCTCGGGGCCCGGGCGTAAGGGGGACCCCGGGGCGCCATGGTGGCTGAGTGTGCCGGGTGCGAGGAGCCCGCGGCCGGGAGCGCAGAGCTGAGGCGCCGGGGAGCGCGGCGAGGGCGCGGAGAAAGAGCCGGCGCGGGGCGGGCGGAGGAGGGGACTGGCGACCAGGCGCCCGAGTGCGCAGCGCCACCTGCCGGCTGGCCTGCCAGGACTGGGCCCGGTGGGAGGTCCGAGCCAGGCGCACCTGGGCTCTTGGGCGGATCCGGTTCCTTTCTCCCTTTTCCTTCTGTCTCTGAGTCCTCTCACTTCTCTACGTGTCCTCGGCATTCACTATGCACGCACTGTACACCAGCCAGGATCCCGGCCCTCCGAGTAGAGGCAGAGTGGTGACAAGCAGCCAGATCCCACCCAGGGCTGACCATCTGGAAAGGAAACAAACCACACCCAAGGGGACTGGGTCCCAGGCAGAACAACTCCGGAGAGCCCGACTGGGCACCTGGAAGGGGTTCCCACCGGGGGGTTGCGGGGGGGGGGACGACCAGGATCTCTTAAAAGGCCCAGAGCGGCAGCCTTCCAGGCACAGCCCAGGGTGGCCCCAGTGCCCCAGCTGGGTGTCCAGACTGGCTTCACGACTTGCCCCCCACCCACCCACATGGGGACCTCCCTGGGGCAGCCCTGAATGGGAGACAGTAGCTGTTTGGGGACACCTTGGAGAGGGCAGCAGAGTGCGAGTGCTCAGCGGGACCTGGCCAGCCACCACGAAATGGGTGCAAACTGAGACGCAGAGCAGAAAGTGCCAGCAGAGGTCCTGTAGCTACTCGATGTCTATTAAATACCTCCAAGGGGCACCCACTGTGTGCTCCAGACTGACGGCGGGACAAACACAGGGCAGAGGTGTCCCTAGAAAGCTCAGGCAGAGCCCAGGTGAGCCATTCCCTCTGCCAGGACAGAGTCCACCCCTCCTCCGCTGTTCCCCAGAAGTCCCTGCGATAGACCCTCCAGCGCCCAGCGTGGCCTCTTCAGAGAAAGCACAGAGCAAGGCTGAGGCCTGAGGACTCCAATGCTGGGAAAAGACAGGGAATAGGGTTCCCTGAGGATTGAGGCATCCAGTGCCCTGGCCAGGAAATGCTGTCCCACAGCAAAGGCAGCAGGACCGAAGGCTCCCTGTGCAAGCGCTAGGGGCCGTGACGGCAGGGGTGGGTGGACATCTGGGAAGGCCTCCTCCTGGGCAGGCCCTCACACCCTCTGTGCTGTTGATTCCCAGCCTGCTGAGTTCAGATTGAGCACTGTGTGCAGCTGTTGGAACATCTGGTTGGCACAGGATGCAGGACCAGTCATCCTGAGGTTGAAGGGAGCCCTAGCTGGGCATGAGAGGGGAGACCACGTTTCCAGCCTCTGTGAGCGGGCTGCACAATCTCTGAAGTCTCATCCAGAGTTTGGCTGTTTGGGTTTGGCTTAAATCAAAGAATCCTCTAAGTGTCATTCTCAAGAAGCCTGTGACAAGTCACTGCATCTATTGCCTTTGGGTGCCTCCTCCAGGCTGGATAAGAGGGGCCTCTGCTCTCAGGCATTGCTACGCAGGGCCGGCTCTCATGTGTCACTCTTGTGGCCCGGCTATCGGGTGTGGGTGATCATCCCCAATGATGGATGAGGGAAGGGACTCAGAAGTTCAGTGACAACCTGAGGCTACCCAGCTAGAGGTGCAGAGGTCAGATTGCAACCTGCCTTTCTGACCTCAGGACCACACAGCATCACCTGAGTTTTATGACACTTGTGTGTGGGGCCCTCAGGGACGTCACTCCTCTGAGGCCCAGATCCCAGCTGCCCACCCGTAGTTCAGCTGACCGAGACTTGCATCACTACAGCCGCCCAGGTGGGAGAGGATGCAGGTCCGGACAGGTGACAGGTGACACTGCACCCTGCCCCGGGGCCAGGGATTGAAGCTGGGGCTTTGCGCAGGCTAAGCAAGTGCTCCACCACTGGGCTGCATCCCCAGTCTCTGCACCTTTTCATGTGCTGTATGTTTGCAATCCCCGCCACTCAGGAAGCTGAGGCATGAGGATCACAAGTTCGCGGCCAGAGTGTGCAATTTGGTGAGATCTCCTCTTCCCTTCTGCTTTGTTTTTTTGTTGTTGTTGAGACAGGATCTTGTTATGCAGTTCAGGATGGCCTTGAGCTCACTATGTAGCCCAGGCTGGCCTGGAACTCACTGCAGTCCTCCTGCCTCAGCCTCCCAAGTGCTGAGATTACAGGCATGTGCCACCACATCTGGCTTTTGTCCCAATTTTTTTAAAAAAAGAAGAAATAAAAAATAAGAAAGTTAAAAAGAAAATTAGAGGAGAAGAAAGACTCAAGAGGAAGTAGAAGCTGAAGACCCGGCACATTAGTGGGACCCCAGTAAATGATGCTCTCCACAGAAGGTGAGTGGGCGCTCCGCTGAGCCCCCAGAGAGCCATGCCCGCCTGCTGACTTCACGACAGCGCTGTGTACCCAGGGCAGGCGGGGGGCACTTTGTCTTTCCTGCACTTAGTCAGACCATTTGCTCATTAGGAGTCCCCAGCTTTTCTAAATTACTGAAGATCACTAGTGATAATATTTTACTTTATCTTTATAAATGTGGCAGCGCTTGAACTGCACATCTCAGTGAGCAGAGTTGGCCTCCGGTGGGTGAGAAGTCCAGGCCCGACTAGCACCCCTGGGAGGAAGTGCGGCCGTCCTGGCTGCTTGAAGCCCCCAGGCCACTCCTGACCCCAGCTCCTGCCCAGCTGAGAAGTTCAGTTTCACCTCTCTGGACAAGCGGGGTGCCAGGGCTCACAAAGAAGTCACCTAATGACTTTCAGTGACAAGTGTGACAGCCTTGTTATCAAAGGGTCAGGGGCAACAGAGCAAGGCCATGGAGGGAGGGCGGGGGGCAGCAGATCAGAAGGGCCAGGTCTACACGTGTTCAAGGACTTCCTGCTGTTGTGCTGACGCCTAGTCAGGAACAGCTTGTCCCTGGGACCCACCTTTGTGGACCAGCCAGGCCCTGAGGTGGAAAGCATAAGGAACTGGCTTACCTTGCCATCCACCACATACTGACAAAGCACCTACTGTGTGCCTGGCATGGTTTCAGCCCCCAAGGGAGATGGCAGGGAAGCCCCAGGCCCGAAGCCACCCTCTCAGGCTCATATTCTGGTAGGAGCACAGACAGGCTCTGGTAGAGGCAGGGACAGTGAGAGGGACTGGAGGACCATGACAGCTGGGGCTCTGAGGCCCTAAGGACCTCCCACTCAGCCCCACTTTGGTGCCACTTCTCAGTAGTGGGGACCAAGCACTGTCACAGTGACCGTGGGGGACACAGGCAAGCACACCTAAGCCAGGGTGTTCCATGCCGATAACCACGCACATGCCTGATGCTCAGAACACCTGAGCCGGCTGCAGCGTGTGCCGCAAAAACTAGGCCTCAATGGAGCACAATGACGAGTCCCAAGGAACACCCTCTGCAGGCTGAAGCAAGGGTCCCTGATGTCCCACGTTGCCATCTTCAGCCCGGTCCCAGACCAGGCTGGGCGCAGTGTGTAGTCCTTTACAAACCCACAGCTCTCACCGTGGAGCCAAGCAGGAAGTCCTCCCGCTGGCGGGCGCCACCCTCTGCAGGGACAGTGGCTCCCCAGCAAGCACCTTCCGCCTGCTCTCATTCTTCCTCCCTCTCTCCATGTGGCCCCTCACCAGCTGTGTGCTCTGGGCCTCGGTTTCCCCATCTGTGAAATGAGAAGAGGGGCTGCCTTAGGACTCTCACAGATCACTAACCCCCAAAAGAGCCGCAGACTGCATGTCACTGGTCCAGCACCACCTGACGGGGGCATATTAAGGACTGAAATGCTCTATGACTTAAAAACTGTTCTGGCTTCATTCATTCCATGGCTTCCCCCCACCCCACCCTCAGTTTTTTGACCCTGTAGCTCTTTGTTTCTGCTTAACAACTGCAGACACCCCAGAGAACACAGGTTATTATGGACATATGTGCTGAGCACAGTGGAAGGAAGAAGGGGAGAGGTTACTCTGCCTGAGGTGTTGGTATCTGAGGAAAATACAGCCAGGTGGGCTGAGAGTGATGAGTCAGAGCCTGGTCACTGATAAACAGAGGAACAGAGACATAGCTTGGTGGCTCCGCAGGGACCAGTGAACAGCCTGCCGGAGAGAGGACAGGGTGACAATACCGCTGGAGGGAAAGGCAGGGTCCAGAGGCTCGAGGTCTCAGGTTCTTTTATGGCTTAAGTAAGAAGTGTCCCCCAAAGTCTCATGCACCGAGGGCTGGACCCCCAGGGGACGGACATGGGGCCTTGAGTGGACTGGGCCACGCCGGTGCTGGCCTTGATGGCTTAATCCATTGGTGGGTATGCAGCTGAGTGTGCTGAGCGGGTCCCCATGGGAGGAAACAGAGGCCTGGAGCATACCCCTGAAGAGTGCATTCTGCCCCGGCCTCTCCTCTCTCCCTGGCTCTGTGGCTCGCCCTGCCTGACCCCCTCAGGATGAGCAGCTGTCTTCCACCACGGCCTTCTGCCATGATGCCTTGGAGCCAGCTGACTGTGGCCTGGACCACCAGGAACTGTGAGCAAATCAACTGCTCCTCCTCTGAGGTGTGCATGACAGGGATTTTGTCCTAGCAACGAAAAGTTAATGAATTCAGGTATTGAAAAGTCTGCATTCTATTACAAGGTCAAGGAGAACCTTCTAGGACTTGCAAGAAAAGGAATACATGGTTAAAACTGAGGGAGAGACCAACCTGGAAGCCAGAGTGTTGGTCCAGGAGTGGAGGAGGTGAGGGGGTGGAGGT